CACACACACACACACACACACAGGCCTCTCTTTTCCTCTTGTTCACTCTCTCGCTGCAGCACACACTGCAGTGCCTCTGCAGCCAGCATCACGTTTTCTGGTTGTCAGAGAGAAAAAAAAATCAGCCAATGAGGAGCAGAACCACACTCCCACCCCCACTCTCATACCCCCATCTAAGCACACAAACACATATTTACACACAGGCGCACACGCGGCCTTTTCAGATATGAAAGCACCAGAAGCTATGAATCATACTTTACATGCACAGACTGAAATGAATGGTTCAGTGCACCAGCTGGGCACAGGAAGCTGGTATAAACAGATCTGTAATCTACAGAGTACAGCTGATACACGAGATGAGAAAACAAAAGACAAACTGACCCACTGATGTACTGCATACCTGACTAGAAACTCTGGAAAAACAAATCAGTCACTGCACGTCAGTTTACAGGCTCTATAAACACAAACTGGAGCAGGGTGATGTTATTTGTATTAATTCTTCTTTAAGACTTTTAATTAGATTTTTCAAAGCTAAATCTGAGACTGCAGACTTTTCTGTAAATTCACTCAAAAACTTAAATGCACTATCCTAAGCCCTGGACCCACATAAGCAGGGATGTTGCATAATAAGTTTCTATCTGCTCAAGCTTTCATGCTGACCAATAGATAATCCTCAGATCAAAGTAGGAAAAGACAGCATGTGAATTTTCTATTAAAGCAATAGGGGTTTGCTTACATAATGTGGGAATCAAATGCATAATATATTTGACAACTCTGCATACCAATTAGCTCCATCTTAGCATATTTTTTAGCATTTGCCTCAGGTAACGATTCATGTTTGAAATCATGCAGAATGTCCAACGTTCATGGCGCCTGCTATAGATACAGGACTACACCATTCACAAAGACAGTCACATTTAATAGCTGGATTTTAAAAGTCTAAAAACTGCAGTACAACTGCAGAATAAAATAACTCTTCAACTGCTGACTACAGTAAATCAATGCTGCTGCATAAATCTGACCCAAATGTGAATCGAAACAGTTCAGTGACTAACTCGAAGATATTTTCAGCAGAATTTTTCATGTAGCATTGTCTCCCTGAAGGCAGCATGCTGTAGGGAAAAAAAGGAGGCCCACTCCCCGTACCTTACCTTACCTTAGAGGCCATGAATCACCTGGCTTTATACGGAGCTGGAGGGAGTGCATGTGAAATCTGTGGCTTTCTGCTGAGGGCTAGACAGGATGTCTGGAGAGCGCTCAAGGCTAAAGTTAAACTATCTGCTGATTAATATCTGAAGCTGAAGGTAAGCTGGCTGCTTGATGAAATGTCTGATTTCCCATTACACACGTGTCAAAAAATATTGCGCAATACACGCTGTTCCCAGCACCAATGAGAGGTAATTTATTTTAATAGCTACTAAGTAATTATATCTTATCAATTAATTAGCACCTCGGTTATTTTTATTTACTGGTGCATGCCCATGCTACAGTAATGTTTGGTTTGTTTATGAGCTGAAATGATGATTGTTATAAAGGCATAGGTGCACAAATACAAAAAAGTAGGTCATTTGAGACCATGGCTAGGTGGTTGCTATGCAACATGATGAGGTTAAGTAACACAGGGCCTGTAATTCGGCTTTTCTGGTTATAGATGAAGTGTTGCTGTCTTGAAATTAAAGTGACAGGATGCTTTCATAAGGTGTCGGAGGTGCAAAAAGGAGAAAACAGGTAATTTTTGCTGTTGCCAGGTGGCTGCCAAGTACCTGCTGGTGTTATGTATAATCAGAGGTGGCCCATAAAAAACAAAGCGTTTTTTTAAGAGTATCATACTAATATCAGGTTTAAAACAATATTAATTGGAAGGAATATAAACTTTATTTCATCCCAGAGAAAGCAGAGAAAAGCAAAGGGCGTAAAAGAAATCTAGCTGTATTTGCTGTTACCTGCATTGTAAAAGAGTGACTTAGCCTTAGCACCCACAGAGAAAAATGAGTAAAATCAATTATTAAAGTTAAAGTGGGATTTGGCAGGTAGGGGGCAACATGGGGAACAGAATTATTTAGAAATAAGTCACAATACTTTGCATTGTGGGTGCAAGTACAGTTTCTGTACTGAGTCGTGCCTATATAAAGCTTGTATGAAGTTGATATTCAGTGGATGAATTTAATCAGTATCATCACCTTAGTAAAATTATGTCTGCTAAACTTAACGTAGCCTCACACAGACCATGAACACCACAGCTCATCTATATCTGTTCAATATAGCAGCTATAAACAGCAGTGCACACCATCCAGTGTAGCCAGGAATAAACTGCCTGGTATTTTTAAGTAACCCTTTAATAACACAAAGTCAGTATAACTTTTATATGTTTCACACTATGAAAAAAACACAACTTTAGGAACATATAATGCATAGGTCCATCATCTGTCCATCATGTGTATTTGTATTGATGTTAAAATTCTCCTCCCTCTTTAATTTCGTTGTGTCAGATGAAACTAATTTGTTTGTGACAAGAAGTAATAACTCCTTTTGAAGAAAGGAGAAAGAAAAACCTTTGAAGCATTTTTAAAATGACTTGATTGTTGGTTCTGTACATGCAGGTTTTGACCATTGAAATTCACAGTTAAATTTAATAATACTTGTTTTTCAAATGCATAAGAAGAGGTGGGCATGAAATGATGTCGTTCCTGGTACAACAGCTCTGATTTGTTTGGGAACACAGAACTGAAATAATTTTATATAAGCATGAAAGATGAAAATTGTTTCTCCTGATGATTTTGTAGTTTTGTTTAGAAAGTAGGATATCATCCAGCACACACATCAAACTCAGAAAGCACTTCCACTGGTGTCAGTTTACAGTCAAATGAGTGCTGGGTGTGAATACAGCCAGTGCCACACCAATTACACAATTAAACTTGGACGTGTAATATCACATGTCATGTTAAACCCCAACCCCAATCTTCTGCCACTAGATGGCGCCTGTGTCTAAGCCACCTTTGTCTTCTCCTGCGTTCTTCCTCCTGTGTCAAACGCTGATTGGGATCTTTACAGAACAACAAATATGTGCCGTTTTCACTCAGTATCATTTGAGTGTTGGTCACAGATATAGCTTCCTGTTATAAATCTGTAAAGATTCCATAACCAGACGTAATCATTTAGTAGCTTTGTGAAGCTTATTGGGAGACATTTTGTCGTCCTCAGTATCAGTTAGGAACTGATTTATAGAGAGTCATAACCAGTGCCTTTTATTGCATAAAGGTGGCATGGTGAGGGACCTTTAGGCTCACGTCTCATCAAACTCACTGCATTCTTAATCACACAACTTGTGTAAGTTTTGTGCTGCACATTCAGTCCTCAAGGGCTCACAGTGCTATTAAGCATTTGTTATCACAAGCCCTTTCCCCCTTATTTTAAATGGACATTAGGCTGAACACACTGAAGATAATTTATTTCATTTTCATTTCTTCTTTTCCTTAAACAGAGGCACAGTGTCATACAATGCTGCATATCACAATACACTCAATCTTTTGTTTGCAGCTTCGAAATAATGTCAAACACTTCCAGTTCCTCGTCACAGACAGGCTGATCTACAGACAGTGTTTGCACACTAGCAATAAAATGAAAAAAAAAAGAAGGGAAAAAACCTCTTCTGCCCAGGGGGAGTGAGATAAGTATATATTTTGTCTCAGGTTGTTGGTTTGTTTTAGGTTTTTTTAGGCTTAGTTACCGTTTGGATCTGCCAGAGATTAGTTGCGGGGAGCTATAAAGTAATATACACCTGGTGAAGAGTAAGCTGGAGGTAAAAGATATAAAAGTTAAGGGAACAGAGCCTGAAGGTCCAAGCAATCATAAATGATTCAACTGTTCATATGCTGGTGATCTGCAATCAGTGCACATTAACCACAGAGTTACTGATAAGATAGAGTTAATGGGAATGACTCACAGGCCTCCTAGTAAATTCAAAAATAGTACTACATGTTTGTTTGAAATTTAACATTTGTTTACCGAGCAATACGAATGAAATTCATCCTCAGTTAGAGAAGAAAAATTTAGCCAAATGACAATCAATCAGAAAACAAATATTTTACATTTAGTTTAACAGAAACAAGAATAAACCATTAGAGGGCAGTAGAGTTAGTCAGCCATGACTATTGAGTGATTCTCAGCACTTCATCCCTGAGATGCTTTTATTCATTAACACTTAAAACAACACAGAGTAAGGTGTGTGGATTTAAGAAGTGACAGCACTAATGGACTTTGAGCACACATAATCAGGAAACAGAGCTTAAGTGGAATGAGGTAGCACACACTGTAATTCGAGGAATTTTAAAGTGTCTCCCATGCTGTGCTTTGTTGGTTTTATATAACAGATCACTTGCTGGTGTATTGCATATTATTTTGTCTCCCTTCTTCACTGACAAAAGACAGAATCCTGAATTTTAAAACAGACATGCTCTATTCCCCTTCTCCCCACTCATGTGTAAACTCGAAAGTACAAAAGACACTCATGACGTTTTTACAATTCCTTTAGTTGGGGATTGGCTTTGAACAGATTAATCATTAATTAAATAGATTACAAGCGTGTGCTGCAGCTCATTTTATCGTGTTGTGGTTAATATGTGTTGCAAATAAAACCACACATTTACATAACGCTTACTGCGTGAGAGTGGTCTCTACAGGTGGATGCACACCTGCAGCTCCTGTCGTGAGCTGTTTGAATGTTTCTGTTAAGACGACGAAGAAAACTCATAGGGACAATGGGTAGCATGCAAATATGAATATACACAACTTTAACATGTTTTACAGTAAGTGCAATATGTGTTCATATATTACAGTGCGATCTACTAGGACAAGTTCATGAAAAGCACAGTGCTTTACAAAAATATATTTTACATCAAAGGCTAAACATTGTAATATAGTTGCAAGTGCATGATTGTGTTTTAGAGTGTTGAGGGCTACTGAGTGGTGTGTTATATTTGTATAAATTAGAGAGTCAGAGAGCACTTGAAATCAGCTGACTCTTAGCCAAAATAGCCATGACAGAACACGCACACACACAGAAGGATGATGGCGTTGGCATTGACCACGTTCCTCCACAGAGGCACCTCTGAGGTGTCTGTCAGCTTCCTTTGCAGCTCTTCCTCTTCTTCTTTAGTCAGCTTGGGGGCTTTCTTGGTTTCCAGGCCACAGAAGCACATCACCGCCTTCTTACAGAAGCCAGGCTCATCATCTGCAAAAGAAGAAACAAGAAAAATGAACGTTTGCATGTATCTGTGCATGAATGCATATTTACTCTGTATGTATGCTGGGTACGTGAGCTCCTTACCGTCTGAGTCCTCACTGCTGGAATCTTGGTTATCAGCCCAATCATCCATCTCAAGGTCAACCCTCTCCTCCGTGCGGTTTCTCAGGCTCCAGCACAGTCGGTACAGCTAGTCAAATGACAAAGCATGTGGTGAGAAATAGATTATTTGTCATTTTATTTTGGGGTGCTTCTTAATAGCTTACTAAATGTTGGTTCATGCAAAGACTTGACTAGATGGCTATGTGGTTGTAGAGACTGGTGATGACTCACTTTGTTATTACGAAATTACTATTCAGACTGCAGTAAGTTTTTGCGCTGTAGAAACATCAAAGATGCTGCATAGATCACATGTTTAGTTTGTTTGCATTGAAGTAATAATATAGTCACTAAATATTAATATAATAAGATACAAAATGGGAATTTGCACATATCTTTTTACCATCAGCCAAACATACAATTTTTGCGTAATGCCTAAGTGATGTCAACAACAATACTTTTGTCCTCTGCAGTTAGGCGTGGCAGCTTGAGGAGATGTGAAGGCCACCAGTAAAGACTTAAGCAGTTTTTCATGTGTAGATGCTGCCGTTTAAATAGCTAGCTGCCTGTGGTTATTAGCTGCACTCCTCTTTTTACTCCTCAGTTGTTGTTATGTTGCTGTTGTATGGCATTAACCTTTGTCTGCTCTTTCTTGTAGTTTGTATTTTATCCTGGTTGTACATTCTTCTTTTATGCCTTTCTGTCCTCTTATCCCTGAGCTGCTGACTGCCACTTCCTGATCTTGGTTCTGCTGGGAGTTCTTCCTCCACATCATTGCCAAGTCCTCACTCATCTGATCATTGGGGTTCTCAATTTAATATTGTGTCTTCTTCTTTCAGCTGCTCCCTTTAAGGGGTTAATGCAAAGTTCTGTAATCGTTTTGAGTGAGTAAACGCACTGACACGAAAGATTTACAGAACACAAATGTTCTGTAAAACATTTCTTGTGACATGTGAGTGCCTAGAATTAGACAATTAGCCTTCTTGCTCTTATACAAGCTTCTTGGTGTTTGTTACAGCACATTAAGAATAGTTACTGTTTTTACTGGTGTTTTTAGTAGCGATGAGGTGTGTATGTGTAAGAATATGAGGGTTTAATTTTTATTCTCACAGATTTATTCTCACTATAATAATAGTGAACTCGAAGCAAACCAAAATGTGTCACTGCAAACCAAGTGACTGCTTATTGGCTGATCTATGGCTGCCTAAAGTGCTGTGGGCAGGTGAGCTTTGGCGACAATCATCAAAAACTTGACAGTTATGTTGGAGTAAATGCTCTCCCCTAATTTACATAATAATAATAATAATTTATCACTTACATGTTTGTCATCGATGGGTTTGGTCACGAGAGACACTGTCAGAATGATGACGCAGGAGATGACAAACAGGAGGATCCCAAAGTAAAGGTAGTGAACGCCACATATGATAGTGGGACAGTTACTGGGGGAAGCACAGCTACCTGTCCCATAAACAAACTCAGCAATCATCCTAATCAAGCCAATAACCAGTCCAATTACCAGTCCAAAAAAGGCCCCCTGGAGAAAGAAAGAAACAGGACAAAGGTCAGTCTAAATCAAGTAAAGTGAGTGATATTACCACAATATTGTATTTAAGGGAATAATTTTTGATGGATCCTTCTTGCTGTACATTTGATCACGTCAACACCACTCTTTGCTGCACAAAAATTAGGAAGCTATCACCATGACATGCTCCCACTAGCATTTGCAACACTTTTGGACTAAAGTAGGACCAGGCAGAAAATTACTGACCTAAAACTGATTCTCCCCAAAATGCTGGTATTCTTAAGGTCTCCACACACCAGAAGTGACAATTGGATGACCTCAGAACTCAGTAATTTAGTTGTGAATGAGCATCAAAGTTTGGCCTCACAAGCTTTCTGACTTTCAGGTTTTTAAGCAGGAAATTTCCGAAATGATACACAGGGATAACTGGCTTGTGTGTAGAGCGGCTCTGACAAAAAGCACTCTAAAGGCTTTCCTTTATTTCCAGTCCATATACTAAGCTAACATAAGCTAACCAGCTCTTGGCTCCAGCTTATTTCCTGTACAGACATGAGACTTGTACCAATCATCTCATTTAACCCACAGCAAGAATGGAAACAAATGTCATTTTTCAATAAATCTCAGAGGTATGGGAAAAATAATGTCAGTGCACAAAACCACACTGAAAATCTGATTTAGAAAAGAAAAAAAAAGAACATTGAATCAAAGGAGGCAACTCACAGTCTCATTGACACGTTTGCAGAAGATGGCAAGCAAGAAGACAGCTGCGACAGGTGGAGTTAGGAAGCTGGTGATGGACTGGATGTAGTCGAAGAGCTGACCACTTTGGGCTGCCTGCACCACTGGAATCCACGCTATGCTCACACCAATCAGGACCAAGATAAAAACTCTAGACATTTGAAACAAATCCAGTCAGTATTCAACAATATAGACGATGATTGTATCAGACACAGTGACGAAAATGTGTTTTACCTGCCAGCAATCATGAGTTCCTTCTCACTAGCAGAGCGACGGATTTTAGTGTAGATGTCCATGGTGAAGAGAGTACTGGCACTGTTGAAGATAGAGGTAAGGGAGCTCATCAAAGAGGCCAGCATCACAGACAGCATAAGACCTCGCAAGCCTGAAATAGAGTAACAGATCAAGAAAAGGAAAGATAAGCAAAGAAGCCTGTAGTTATTATTAACAGCTCATAAGACAAAGGTCACCAACCATCAGGCATGAGTTCGACGACCAGTTTCGGATAAGCGATATTGCTGCAGCCCACCTTGGTCCCACAGTATTTTTCACATTCGGTTGGATCCACACATGCTACCACATCTAGATTAAAGGCAAGAAAATCCACAGTGCGTGAGGTCAGCACTGAATAATTTTGTGCATGAACTACAAATATAATGTTAACCAATAAGCTTGCTACATAAGTTGCATGTCACACACATGTAACCACACTCACCTGTGTACAGGATCCTGCTAATCATCCCGGGGAAAACCATGAGGAACATGGGCAGCAGCTTCAGGTAACCACATAGGATACAACCTGCTTTAACGTGAGAGAGACTCTTGGCAGAGAGGCAGCGCTGCACAATCACCTACAATTAGGAAACAATGGGAGTACAATTCAGTGGTCATAAGCAACTAAATACATTTACTCAGGTATCACAATTTTACCCACATTTACTGTACTTTTAAACTTGGTGGTAGTTGTTATTTCTAGTTCATTGAGATTCGATGCAAAATATTATACTTGTAGAATAGTAATGTCTTTTACATTCAAACTAAGATTTCACAAATCATATGATATGTTTCCAAATTATAAAGTATAGTTTATACATGTAGAGGAACATCTATGAACGTTCAAGAGCAAAAGCTTCAACAAGACTCGTTTTTAGAAAATAATATGTAGAATATGTGGTCATGGAAAATACTTTGGGTACTAGAAGCTTCTATCTGCTTTCTAGACTTGTCCAGTCACATTGGAGCAGGCTTTGTGCGCATGGTGTTAAATAAAAGCTTATAAATTCGAAATCATCAACTATCATGAAAACATGGGCTTTTATGGGCTTGTTTAATATATCTGTATCCACACAGGATACACCTTTCAGAGACACGAAACATGAATCTATTTCTCTAGCATTTGTTATGTATTGCTATTTACTTGTTTAATTTGTATTGCCAGCAGGGATGTCACAGAGTGCACTGTGATGTTCTTTACTTTTTGAAATTTAATTCATCAGCCTTATAAATGCTGAAGCTGTTGGAGCGCTGACCTTAAAGATGCTAAAAGTTTAATTTAAGATCCAACCACTTTGGGTCACCAGTGTATTGTTCTTTTTCTCTTGAAGTCATTGGCTCTCTATTGATGCATGTTGCTTCCTGTTTGGAAGCAGTTTGCTTGCATATATTCCAGGGTCCTGTTGTCTGGCTAACACTCTTGTGTATAAAACAACAGTAGTATAATCACTAAATCCAGACATAAATTAAGAACCTTTTTCTCAAAACACAATACAGTATTGATTCAAAAAGTCCAAAACACCAGGAAACAGATCCAGAGATCCCAACAGACAGTTAACTTGGGTCCGCTGCAGGTATTGCAGTGTAGTGGTTCTTGCATTTGTGCAACATCTCCAAAATCAGAAAGATACGGTCTCAGAGTGATGTTAGTGATGCTTATTACTTCTAGGTGGCATTATTATCAGCTTGTCCTAAAAGCCCCCTGATAAGCCTTCAGCTGACCTGCTTGCATTGCCAATGGTTAGTTTACTCATTGTTGCTTGAGAATACTGAATTTCATTGACTTGTTACAGTCTCTGGTTGCCACGTTGCCAGTCTCTTCTGTGTGTAGACCTGTTCATAGCCCTGCATTAATTGACCGCAAAGCCTATACAAGTGGCTGACACTACATTTTTACATTTGCACTTATGAGATGATGTGAAAAAAACAAACAAACAACTACATTTGGAACGATCATGGCTTTTACTTAACCTTGAAACACGAATTGTCAGAGCTATGAAAATTAAAAACACAACATATGTTGTTCGTGTTAGGATTGTGAGCAAACTAGATACAATTGCAGTCTCTTTGGTTTAGCAGATGTATTATCCTTTTGCTAATTGATATACCCTGTTTACATGGCATATTACTACCATGCAGACCTATCATAGTTGTTTTTGTCAAGCTTAAATCAACAGCCTGGCCAATTGATTCTGAGCATAAGGGGGACTTGGCTGAATGATAGACTGGGTGGGTAAGTGGTTGTCATGGATTTCAAACCACTTTCAGTCTTTGTGGTTGAACTCAAAATGTTTGCTGAGTAAACCAAAGAAGCAAATCATCTTCTTCTGTAACGGAAATAGATATACCATAGTGTTTTGTTCGCGTGTGCTCTATGTCACATGAATTGGTGTCAGGCTCTCGCTGAGATCCAGCGTCTAAACTAAAAGCATGGTTATCCTCTCACTGCAGACTGTTTTTTGAATATTGTTTTTTTTTTAATCTGTATGAACGGGCATGAACGTGCATGTGAGTAAATCAGTTGGCTGAGTCAGTGTTTATGACCACCCATTTGTTGTGAATGATTGCTAAAAGCTATTGACGTGCCCAGCTCGATCCAAGACTCCATCTGCATTTTCAACACCTTGAACATAAATTTCTTCCAAATTATCTCTCCGTATAGAAATTGAGTCTAGTGAACACACCGAGGCAATCAGTTGAACGTGTCTCAGTTTTTCACTACAGACTGGTTGCTGAAAACTGCAGTTGAGCTGCCCAGTGCTCATTTCTTTGCTCACCTGATCAGTACACCAGTACCAGGTAGCTTGAATGGTGAGTCCAAACACGAGACCAGGCCATGGGAGGTCTCCTGTAACTGCATTTCTGAAGATATGGAAGGAGTCTGCCCGGGGCTCATAGCAGTTTGCACTGATGTTACCCGTGATTGAGGGGATAGCTTGCATGTAGAGTTTCTCAAAGTTTACATAGCCTCCCACCTCATGGAAAGCTGAGGAAAATCATATGGAAATTAGACTTTTTAAACCTTTCAAACAGATATGTGATATATGATAAGTGTCATATTACCAAAGCCCATGAGAATGAATGATCCAATAACCATGATGATGGTCTGTAAAGTGTCCGTGTAGATCACTGCTGCCAGTCCACCTGAGATAAAATAGGATTATCAATGTTATGTCAATGTTATCAATCTGTAAACATTTTCACCTAAAATCTTGACATCTTATCACAACTAACAGACTACACTTGTTTGAAAGAACAAAAATCAACTCATCATGTCATTATGTAACTACTCATTCTGTAAGACTTGTAATTGTGGATGTGTTGTTATAAAACAGCAACAGAAGGCCAATTCAGGCTTATCATAGTCCATGGGCAATTAACCACAGCAACTCAGCAAAGATAAACCAGCAATGAGGAACGAAAGAGATTGTGTGTATGTGGTGTGTGTCTACATCACCACATATGGGCTTGGGAAGACTTTACCCCGGTCATAATATCATTTTTGTAGATAACACTTCTTGGGTAGTTTCTGAGGAAAATGTCAATCAATAAGTTCCGTATAAAAGGAAGTGTATTTCTTCCGTGTACAAACCTGTGACAGTGTACAGTGCCGTAATCGCTAGAAGTGCAATAACAGCGAGGTAGATGTTCAACCCAAGTGCCTGCTGGATGAAAATTGCACCCGAGAACATGTCTGCCTATATGGGGAAGGGTAAAAAATGCAGGATTTTATTCAAGATCATTCACAAATGGAACAGTGTGTTCTGCATCTCTTGGAGGGACTCACTGAGATTTTGGTGAAGACATACAAGAAGAGGGAGAGAACAGAGAGATAAATGCGAATGCGCTGTCCTCCAAACCTCTTCTTCAAGTACTCAGGCATGGTGACGATCTAAATACATCGACAGCAGATGAGATTTTACTCATTACTCACACTGTAGATAAACACGGTGGTTATGAATGCACATTTGGATAGGAGAATTAATACATATAAGGAGCTTTCAGGCCAGTGTGTAGCAGTAGTATTCTGTTTACCCCAGCTTTAATGTAGATGGGCACAAAGAGCCATCCCAGAATGACAACCACAACAAGAGCCTGAAAAACACGAAGATAGAAGAAATAATCAGATATCCTGTTTCATTTCATCCTCTTCAGGCCGGAGCTCTCGTAACAATCTATCAGTTGACATGACAATAACTGATAGAGTATCAGGGACAAGAACTACATGAGAAGTGGTATAACTGACTCAAGAACAGTTACTCACATTCCATTCAAATCCACCAATGGCTATTCCTGCAGCTGCGCCAGTACCAGCGATTCCTACAAAGTGGCCACTGCCAATATTGCTGGCAAACAGCGATGCTCCGATCTGTGGAGAGCACAGTTAAATCTGTCAGTAGCTCCTTTTAAAATTCAATCAGAATCCATTAGGGGGTTTTTTGAAAGGTCATATACTCAGCATACTAAATAAGTACTAAATGGTTTTACACACTTGATTGCTCTAATAAAAATATGACAATTCATAAAATTCTTCTATTATGATACCCTTACATTCCATCTATTTGAACAAAGCAATAAGAACTAATTACTTCGCATGGATTATAAAGTAAAGGAGTCTTCCAAGGAAAGATACTCACCGGCCACCAAACCATACTCCTCCCTGCAAGGAAGAAGCCACCTACAGTGGATCGGTTGGTGCGGATCATAGCCTGTAATAGAACAATTTTTGAAAATGATTAAATCTGTGCAAAATAGCAACACACTACTCTGATAATCTGTTCATAAGCATCACATACAATATATGGACAAAAGTATCTGGCCACACCGCTTAAGGTTTCAGTTCCATTGCCACAGGTGTATGAAATCAAGCACCTAGCCACTGTGCTTTAAAAATATTAGTGGAAGAATGAGTCATTTAAAAATAATAGAACTCCAGTCTAATAGAATACCACTGTTGCAACTAGTCCCTTAAGTGTCTTCCCTCCTAGATATTACATTTACCAACAACTCAGCAACAAAATAGCCGACGATGTAAAGTTACAGAGTTTGGGTTACAGTTTGAGTCCTGATGAATAACCCTCCTGTGGCACTAACATCAGAGTAAATTGGGCGCTTCATAGGATGTATTTCCATGGCCTGCCAGCTCCTGTAGGTGTGATGGCTACGTGGCTCAGTAATTTTGTTCGTATGGTATAATTCTTATATTTAAAATTGTGGGTGATTTCACACAACTTAAAGATATCACAGTAAAAGATAGATAAACATTATGAAATGCGAAATATGTGTCTGCGATCTGCTGTGGAAAGCTATTGTGTACCAGGTTGCTGAGAAAAATGACTGTGTCAATTGTGCAAAATGATTATTAGTAAAGAATGACACCTTTGTTATTTAGTAAGTTGCCTCTCAAATTAACATAAAAAGAAATGCTATTTTTTTCTTTGGCAATGTAATTCATTATTACTATTAACAGAAAATTTAATAACTCAAAACAACTTAAAGCTATAAAAATGTCAGGGAGCTGCAGAGACAGGGGATTTAAAGAATGATCAGGTGAAGGATTGTAAAACTTACCAATACTCCGACCCCCAGGACAACAAGAAAGTAGACCACAATAACGGAGATATCTGCCGCATTTCTAAGGGCCACCGTGTTGATTGTGTTGTTTTCTGCATTTCTGTTTATGTAGGAAAATCCATGATACGAATAATCTTGTGACATTTTGGCTGTGATGGACAACGGCAGTGTTGCTCGAGCTGCCCGTGTTTGTCTGAAGCATTTACACAAAGCGATTACCTTTATAACCTTTGGTGTGTGTGTGTGTGTGTGTGTGTTGGAGAGATAGTGTGTCAAAGAAGGAGGCATAGATGTAAAGGAGGGTAATAAAGAGTGGATTTAATCATTGATCATGATTTAATCATCTAAATCGTTAAAACACATACTAGTTGAAAGTGGATGCATGTACAGATTGGCATGTAAATCTGACGGTTTCACAAATGTTGGTTTAAAAATGAATGTGTTAAAATATGTAACTGTTTAGCAAATAATATTGTTACTTATAAACCTACAAGGAAATACCTCAAGTGAAGATACTTGAGATACAAAAACCTAACAGGTAGTATTTGTATCGCAGTGGGTTATAGCTCAAATTTAATAAAGTATAATCCAGTTTAGGTTGCTGCAAGTGTGTACATGACAGCTCTGTTAAACTATAACCATTTGCTGTGTCACTGATAAACTGACTGTGACAGCTTTGTTGATAAGTAAAACAAGAATAGCCGTCAAACACTGCCACTGATAACTTGTCTCACTCATGTCAAGGAAACAAGGAATTGTTTTTTTCTCACTTACTGCAAGTCTATGACAACTAATACTCACAGGAAATAATATTGATAAAAGATGTTTTATTCCCCCTTTCTAGGTTATTTATTAGTCTCACTGCTGTTTGAGGAGGTCTGTAACAGACTGAAAAATACACGAGAACCAATGTCAGAATAAAAAATGTTACCTGTGATATTCAGCCAAACCAAACAGCACCAAAACAACAAAGGAAACACATCAGAGGGCGATATGTATGATTTTTATGTATGTATGTTAAAGTCAATGGACAGATACAGTTGATGTTGTGAACCTTTGCATGTTAATATCATTTGGATAAGACAGTCTTTGTTGTTCCAGCAGTTGGGAAATTCACAATATTACAGTATCAGAGTGGACAGAGCGGGAATAAATAGATGCAGCACAAGCAAACAATATTATGAGGTGACTAAAGACGCAAGTACTATCAGCTGCCACTAGGTGTCCCTACAGTAACAGCTTTATGAGCCAGATGTCACTGAGCTCTGACAGGTGAAGAACAGGTTGTGTTAAAGTTTCTTTCCTTATGCTTTGCTTCCAGTTACTTTGCTTGACACCTGATAAACAAACCACATGATAGTGTTCAAGGCTCTGTTCTCACGTATAATGCTCAAAGCTTGCAGTAATTATTTGGTTGTGAAGACACAGGTGTGGTGTAGGTGTGGTTCCCAAAAAGCAACGCCCTGCATTCCATGATCGTATGATTCACCACACTCAGCGACCTTTTTTATGGCATCAGCATAATAAAATTATTATTGTAGTTACTATCTGGTCAGTTAAGGTTTTATTGCTTTTATATTGTCTTTTTTATATTGCCTGAAGGCCACAGAAGATATAAGAAAAAGATATGGCATTAGAGTGTTACTCTATGAGCGAGTTCTACAACGGAAAAGATGGAGGTAGAAGAAACGTTATGATACGTTATTCTAGGATAAACTTTTGGAGTGTTTTTGTCTGATGTGAATAGTGATTTTATGTACGTGGTGATCGTGGCTCATAAGTTGGGAGTTCGTCTTGTAATCGGAAAGTTGCTGGTTCGAACCCCGGCTCCGACAGTCTCAGTCGTTTTCTCCTTGGTCAAGACACTTCACCCGTTGCCTACTGGTGGTGGTCAGAGGGCCCGGTGGCGGCAGTGTCCGGCAGCCTCGCCTCTGTCAGTGCGTCCCAGGGTGGCTGTGGCTACAATGTAGCTTGCCATCACCAGTGTGTGAATGTGTGGATGACTTGATGTATAAAGGGCTTTGGGGTCCTTCGGGACTAGTAAGGTGCTATACAAAATACAGGCCATTGCAAGGTTTTTATGTCCTGGTGACCACTGCAATGAAAGTTAAATGTAATAATGGTTCAGAATACACAAACAAGAGCCCAAAGATGATCACAGATCACAGTGCTGGATTGTTATTTACAAGTGAAGGCTAACCTGCAGCTTCATTCACAAAATATTTCAAATTTACCATTAAGATAAAGAAGAAAATTCATACTTCTCCCAAATGATCTTCAGACATTTTAGAATGACAAATAGCATACAAATGTGTAAATATTTATGCACTTCAACATTTTTTAAGTCTAATATGTATTAATATATTACAGTCTACTGGTTCACTTAAACTTTTAAATACCAGGAAGCAATAAAGAAAAGCACAGTGCTCTAAACATAAGGTTTAAACAGGGTTTTAGGGCTGAGGCCTACTGAGCAGTCTGTTAAATTTGTATAAATTAGACTCTGTGAGCAGTTGAAATCAGCTGACTTTTAGCCAAAATAGGCATGACAGAACACAGCCACACACAGAAGGATGACGGCGTTGACATTGACTACGTTCCTCCACAGAGGCACCTCTGAGGTGTCTGTCAGCTTCCTTTGCAGCTCTTCCTCCTCTTCTTTAGTCAGCTTTGGGGCTTTTTTTGTTTCCAGGCCGCAGAAGCACATCACCGCTTTCTTCAAGAAGCCAGGCTCATCATCTGCAAAAGAAGAAACAAGACAAACGAAAGTCTGCATGTATTTGTTTATATGTATGCATAACATGTGTTAAATATGGTAAATGGTAAATGGCCTGTATTTATATAGTGCTTTACTAGTCCCTAAGGACCCCAAAGCGCTTTACATATCCAGTCATCCACCCATTCACACATTCAAATACTTGTCAGTTTCACCCAAAACACCCCTTTTTTCAATTAAATATTTCATTTTGCATCTCAATCTCCTTCCTGTGTGATCTGAGTCTGTGTGCGTTCGTGTGTGTGCGCTGCGTGTGTGCGGTGACGTAGGCGCGTGCATTTGTGCCCCGGTCTCAGCTCCTTTCAGCATGGCCGGAGGTAAGTCACTGCCACGTTGCTCTCAGCTAATTAAAGTTTGCTCAGACCCCAAGCTGCAATTTGAATACAGCCGAACCGCCGCGTTTTTGTTTGTCATTAAGAGACTCATTCGGGATAAGTTAGTCTGATCGCTAGCGGCTTGTGGGCGTATTCGCTGCAGTTTTTTTTTTAACAGTGTGCACTCTTTTTCAGTGTTTTTAATGGTACAGTGTTGTATTGCCTGTTGGATGGCGGTTGTTAATATGATTGTACTGAAGTATAATGTTTGAACTATAAGCACTAGAATATTGGGTCCTGGTTATTAAATTGTATTTGTCTGACTGTTTATTTGTTTTTGAATTATTTTGTTTATTGTTCTTATAAGTTCTTTTGATGATTTTTCAGTAACATATTATTTATTTTGTCCTTTTTGTTTTTGAGAGCTTAAGTTAATGTTTTAAAACAATTCGTTGTATTTGATTTATTATATTATTGTAGCATTAATAAAGCTGCAGGCACAGCTCCTTTCAGCCTGGCCGGAGGAGAGGTGTACTGGCAGGTGCGTGACACACACAGATCAGACACATATTTCTGTGTTACAGATGTGCAGTAAAGAGCCAAAGACCCAGTGCTGTCTTGAGCCTCTTACTTTCACGCCAGAACACAATGCAACAACAACAGGCATAACACATGAACGGGTTATATATGGATGCATATTTACTGTGCTATATTTTACTCTGCTGCGTATGTCAGCTCATTACCGTCTGAGTCCACACTGTTGGAATCTTGGTTATCAGTCCAATCATCCATCTCAAGATCGACCCTCTCCTCTGTACAGTTCCTCAGGCTCCAGCACAGTCGATACAACTAGTCAAACGGCACAAAATGTGGTAAAAAATATTATCAGAAAATTTATCATTTTATTTTACTTCTTAATAACTGATTAAACACAGTTTAACAAGGAGACTCAGCAGATATGAAGGTTAAAGCAAGTTAAATCTCCATACTAGATCAGTCTGGTGGAAGCTGGAGGATGAGGATAGAGGGAAGGTGTGTTAGGAGGCAGCAAGATAGAAGAAAAAAGCAGGAGTGTAGAGGCAACATTAAATGTAGGCTGGTTACA